AAATGAGCTCCTTTGACTCCATGTCACACACCCAGGGCATGTTGATGCAAGAGGTGGGCTGCCATGGCCTTGGGCAGCTTTGCCTCTATGGTTTTGCAGGGTATAGTGCCTCTCCTGGCTGTTGGCACAGTCTGGTGTTGAGTGTGTGTGTGTGGCTTTTCCAGGTGCACAGTGCAAGCTATCAGTGAATCTACCATTCTGGGGTCTGGAGGATAGTGGCCCTCTTCTCACAGTTCCACTAGGCAGTGTCCCAGTGGGGACTTTGGGAGCTCTGACTCCACATTTCCCTCTGCACTGCCTTAGCAGAGGTTCTCCATGAGGGCCCTGCCCCTGCAACAAACTTCTGCCTGGACATCCAGGCATTTCCATACATCCTCTGAAATCTAGGTGCAGGTTCCCAAACCTCAATTCTTTAGTTCTGTGCACCCACAGGCTCAGTACCATGTAGAAGCTGCCAAGGCTTGGGGCTTGCACTCTCTGATGTCATAGCCTGAGCTGTACCTTGGCTCCTTTTAGCCATGGCTGGAGCAACTTGGAGGCAGGACCCCAAGTCCCTAAGCTGCACACAGCAGCGGGGGTCTTGGACCCGGCCCCTGAAAGCATTTTTCCCTTCCAGGCCCTGGGTCTACCCCAAAGGTCTCTGACATGCTCTGGAGCATAAATTGTGACATTTTCCTCATTGTCTTGGTAATTAACATTTGGCTTCTTGTTACTTTTGCAAATTTCTGCAGCAGGCTTGAATTTCTCCACAGAAGATGAGTTTTTCTTTTCTATTGCATTGTCAGCCTGCAAATTTTCCAAACTTTTATGCTCTGCTTCCACTTGAATGTTTTGCCACTTAGAAATTTCTTCTACCAGATACCCTAAGTCATTTCTCTGAAGTTCAAAGTTCCACAGATCTCTAGGAAGGGCAGGGGCAAAATGCTGCCAGTCTCTTTGCTAAAGCATAACAAGAGTCATCTTTGTTCCAGTTCCCAACAAGCTTCTCATCTCCATCTGAGACCACCTCATCCTGGGCTTTATCATCCATATCACTATCAGCATTTTGGTCAAAGCCATTCAGCAAGTCTCTAGGAAGTTCCTTACTTTCCCACATTTTCCCGTCTTTTTCTGAGCCCTCCAAACTGTCCCAGCCTCTGCCTGTTACTCAGTTCCAAAGTCATTTCTACATTTTCAGGTACCTTGACAACAGTACCCCACTTCTGATACCAGTTTACTGGATTAGTCTGTTCTCTCTCTACTAATTAAGATATACCTGATACTGGGTAATTTATAAAGAAAAGAGCTTTAATTGACCCACAGTTCTGCAGGGCTGCAGAGGCTTCAGAAAACTTACATTCATGGTGGAAGGGGAAACAAACACATCCTTCTTCACATGGCAGCAGCAAACAGAAGTACAGAGTGAAGTCAGGGGAAATCCCCTTATAAAACCATCAGCTCTCTTGAGAACTCACTCACTATCACAAGAACAGTATGGAGGTAGCTGCCCCCATGATTCAATTACTTCCCGCCGTGTCCCTCCCATGACACATAAGGATTATGAGAACTACAGTTCAAAATGAGATTTGGGTGGGGACACAGCCAAACCATATCAAGCCCAGTACCCAATAGTTGTCTTTTCTTCTCCTCTTCCTCCTCCTACCTTCCACTCTCAAGTGGACCCTGGTGTCTATTGTTTTCTTCTTTGTGTTCATAAGTTCTCATCATTTAGCTTCCACTTATAAGGGAAAACGTGGTATTTGGTTTTCTGTTCTCGCATTAGTTTGCTGAGAATAGTAGTCTCTAGCTTCATCCATATTCCACAAAAGACATGATCTCATTCTTTTTTTATGGCTGTGTAGTATTCCATGGTGTATATGTACCTCATTTTCTTTATCTAATCTGTCATTGATGGGCATTTAGGTTGATTCCATGTTGATATGATTTGGCCATGTGTCCCAACCCAAATGTCATCTCAAATTCAAAGAAGAACCTGGTGGGAGGTGATTGAATAATGGGGGTAGATTCTTCTGTGCTGTTCTTGTGATAGTGAGTTATCATGAGATCTGATGGTTTTAAAGTGGCCCTTCCTCCGTTCTTTCCTGCTACCCTGTGAAGAAGGTGCTTGCTTTCCCTTTGCGTTTTGACATGATTGTAAGTTTCCCAAGTCCTCCCCAGCCATGTGGAACTGTGAGTCAATTAAACCTCTTTTCTTATAAATTACCCAGTCTCAGGAAGCTCCTTATAGCTGTATGAAAATGGACCAATGCATAAGTCTTTGCTACTGTGAATAGTGCTGCAGTGAACATTTGTGTGCACATGTCTCAGTGGTAGAATGTTTTACATTTCTCTGGGTATATACCCAGTAATGGGATTACTGGGTCTAATGATAGTTCCACTTTTAGTGCTTTGAGGAATCACCATACTGCTTTCCACAATGATTCAACTAAGTTACACTCCCACCAACAGTGTATAATGTTCTCTCTTTCTCTGCAACCTTGCCAGTATCTGTTATTTTTTGACTTTTTAATATAACAATAGCCATTCTGGTGTGAGATGGCATCTCATTGTGGTTTTGATTTATCTAATGATCAGTGATAGTGAGGTTTTACTCATATGCTTCCTGGGTGCAGGTATGTCTTCTTTTGAAGTGTCTGTTCATATCCTTTGCCCATTTTTTAGTGGGGTTGTTTTTCTCTTGTAAATTGTGTTTCAGTTCCTCATAGATGCTGGATATTATACAATTGTCAGATGCATAATTTGCAAATATTTTCTCCCATTCTCTAGGTTGTCTATTTACTCTTGTAGTTTCTTTTGCTGTGCAGAAGCTCTTAAGTTTAATTAGATTCCACTTGCCACTTTTTGCTTTTGTTATGATTGCTTTTAGTGTCTTTTTCATAAAATTTTTGCTCATTTCTATGTCCAGCATGGTATTGCCTAAGTCATCTTCAGGATTTGCATAGATTTGGAAATGCAATAATATTCACAATTGCCACAAAAAGAATAAAATACCTAGGAATACAGCTAACCATGGATGTGAAAGATCCCTGCAATGAGAATTATCAAATACTGCTCAAATAAATCAGGAAGGACACAAACAAATGGAAAAACATCCCACGCTCATGGATAGGAAGCATCAATAGCATTAAAATGGCCATACTACCCAGAGCAATTTACAGATTCAATGCTATTCTTATCAAACTACCAACAATATTCTTCACAGAACTAGAAAAAACTATTTAAAAATTCATGGAACTAAAGTTATGGAACCAAAAGAGAGCCTGAATAGCCAAGGCAATCTTAAACAAAAAGAACAACTCTACAGGCATTATGTTCCTGACTTTATACTACAGGGATACAGTAACCACAACAGCATGGCACTGATACAAAAATAGGCACATAGACCAATAGAACAGAATAGAGAGCTCAGAAATGTTGCCATATACCTATGACCATCTGATCTTCAACAAAGGTCGCAAAAACAAGCAATGGGGAAAAGGCTTCCTGTTCAATAAGTGGTGCTGAGGTAGCTGGCTAGCCATATGCAGAAGACTGAAGCTAGACCCCCTTCTTTATATCATATACAAAGATCAATTCAAAATAGATAGTTTATATTTTATGCATGTAGAAATTAAAGTTCAAACAGTTTAAACATTTTACCCAGCCTCACATAACTGGTAAGTGATAAGGTCTGAATTTGAACCCACCTCTGCCTCCTGGGTTCAAGTGATTCTCCTGCCTCAGCCTCCTGTGGAGCTGGGATTCCAGGCACCTTCCACCATGCCTGGTTAATTTTTTGTATTTTTAGTAGAGATGGGGTTTCACTATGTTGGCCAGACTGGTCTTTAACTCCTGACCTTGTGATCCTCTCACCTCAGACTCCCAAAGTGCCGGGATTACAGGCATGAGCCACCTCGCCCGGCCCCAGGATGCACACTCTTAACACCATGTAGTTATTCTGCCTCCCTGAATTGATTAAGAGGGATTTATCTTATATATTGCTAATTGAGAAAGCAAATAATGGAAACCGAATAATTCCATTTTTAAAAAGAAAGAAAAGAACTATCCCATATACCTTCCAATATGGAAACATTGATTATATAGGATTGATCAAGGAAGTGAGATATTAATTTTTTATTTATGCCTCTCTTTATTGTTAGCAGTTATAGAAAACACTGGAATACTTTATCATTTTTTAATCCAAAAAAGTGATGTAAAAGTTAACAAAAACCAGCCTCCAAATGCAGTATCCACATTTAGGTTCATTATGCTTTCTTGAAAATAAAACAAATGTCTGGCTCATTAGCAAGTAGACAAAAATTAATAGAAACTTGTCCTCTATTTTTTTTTTAAACCAGGATTCAGACCCACAAGGCTGTAACTAATTGTGGTCATTCTATGCAAGTATTTACCTAGATTGGCATGAAGTGGGTCCCTAGCAAACATTTGTTTTCCTCCCTTCAATTTTCTTCTCTCCTCCTTGGCCTTCCCCCAACCAATAACCAAATGCTATGACCACACAAGCAGTCTTTATTTTCCAGTTTTTAGCCTGCCCAGGATGACTTTGGCTGTAGTTCTTGCTCATGGTAATGCAGTGTCTCTTTCAGATAGACTGATTTCCAAACATAACTTCCTGGTGCTTCCTCTTTCACTGTGTCAAGACTTATGAGAGACAGGAGATTTGCCAACTGGTCAATCTGTTACACAGGAAAGCGTTTTCTTAAGAGAACGGCCAAAAGTCCTACATTTAGAACCATGTACAATGATTATATAAATACAAATAGTCCATATTTTTAGAAGTGTTTGCTGTTTTATGGGCTAATATGTGAATCTTAATAGGATGTGACATGATATATGTGCCATTTCAGCAGTTTAGAGATATGAAACTTCATGCCTTACCTGAGGCACACAAGTTAACTCTCTCATATAAAATTGTTAGAAATTGGTATTTGCATATTTTGAAAACTTTGTCAACAGTTTGAAACAATGTATTTCATGAACACTTTTATGCTTTTCCTCAGGTCCCATTTGATATCTCGCTGCCATCTATATTCAGTCTTGAGAGACTGTTTGATCTGGCTAATGGTTGCATTTTATCAGGAGGAAGACTTTTCAGCTGGATAGTGTCAATTATTCCCTGAACATCCTTTACGCGGTAACCTTATAAAGGAGTTGATTGTTGTTTCTCTTGGTTTGAACTAAGTTTTTGGAATGGTCCTCTTACAACAACAAAAATAAAATTGTTTTCTTACACAAGCTAAATTTCTTTAAAATTATTTTTTTGAGGAATGTCTTAAATTGTACTTGAATTAAATGACAGTGCTGTTGTTTATTAAAACCATCTTACAGAGCTGTTTGTAGAAAACAAGTTTGTGCACAGTGCAACTATTTTCACCTTTGTAGTCATTTATGTTTAGGTTGTTTTCAGACAGCTCCATAAAGCAAGATTGGATGAAACCAGTGGTTCTCAACTGGGAGCGATTTTGTCCACTAGGTGACATTTGACAATATCTGGAGACACATTTAGTTGTTATCACTGGTGGAGTACTAGTGGCAGCCAGCGGCTAAACATCCTACAAAGCACAGGATGGCTCCCACAACAAAGAATTACCAAGCCCAAAATGTCACTACTGCTAGTCTTGTAAAAACCTGGATTAAACCCCAACATGTGCTAATTTCAACTTTGGAAGTTCTTCTAAATGACCTGGGAAGAAATCTGTAGCAAATTAGACCTTCCTTATTTTATACTTCTAAGAGGCAATATTGTGTAGAATTTTAGAGTGCCAGCTTTAGAATTGTATAGACCTGGGTTTAAATAGTAACCTTGCCATTTGCTAGCTTTGCTACTTTGGGTATTAACTTAAATTCTGTAAGCTTTTATTTCTTCATCTGTAGAATGGGGATGTTAATATCTATCTCATAGGATTGCTGTGTGTATTAATTAGGTGAGTTGAAGTAATAAGCTGCTTAGCACAATGCCTGCTGTAACGATAGAGTGCTGGGAGTATTGATTTCCTGCCAAATTGGAAGAGGACCCTGCATTTCTGACTCATTTTGTCTAGTGTCTAGCAATGCCACACATGAATGCTTCCCAGATGCTAGTCAATGAATGCTCATGGTAAACAAAAAAAAAAACAAAACAAAACAAACAAAAAACACACAAATGTGATTTTCTAAAGCTAAATTGATTTAGTGTATTATCCTCTATTCTGAATTTCCTACTAGTGTTAAAAAGGCCTTTAAAAAAAAAATGAAGCAATAGTAATAGTAGCTGGCAACTGGCATTTTAAAATAGTTTCATTTGATAATAAAAGAAAAAATACCAATTTATGTTAGTCTCTAA